GGAAAAGTGGGCGGGTGGGGGGGGGGGCCAGGCCCACGGGGGGGGCTGTTTAAAAGCCGAGGCAGCCCCGACACCGCGCCCATTGGCTCCTTCAGAGCGACAGTTGCCACCGGGCGTCCCCTGCTCCGCACAGTAAATCTCTGACCTCTGCTCCCCTCCCTGCCGCTTCACGAGCAGGGCCCCGTGGCCCCTCAGGAGGGCAGGTCGAGCCCCACCACGGCCCAGGCCTCAGCTGGGTCCCTCCCAGCAAACGCTGCCTGGAAAAACAAGGATTCCTGTGGCACCTCACAGACTTACTAGGGTAGAAGCTTCTGAGGTTAAAAACCACTTCAGATGAACTGGGGTGGAAATGGCAGAAGCCGGGGTAGATACAAAAGGGAGCAGTTGCTTGTGTGACGAAGCTAATCAAGTTAGGGTCGAAGTGGATCTAACAAATGTGCATATGGATCCTGAGATGTCTCAGGAGTCCGATACTGAAAATGAAAATCTGCCTGCAGACATTTGGGGTGGGGATGTGAATGTCCAGATAGGGAAAACTGCCTTTGTAGTGTGTTAGCCAATTGAGAACCTTATTCAATCCAAAGTTGATAGTGTGGAATTTGCAAATGAACATCAGTTCAGCTGTCTCCCTTTATAATCGTTTTTTAAATTATTTTGTAGAAGGGGGGCTGCTTTCAATCCATGACTGAATGCCCAGAGAGGTTAACATGTTCCCCTACAGGTTTATATGTGCTACTTTTCCTAAGGTCTGATGTGTCCATTTATCCTTTGGCATAAGATTGGGTGTTTCCCTTCTGGGGGGTGCCAGCTCCCATCTGATCCCAGGCAAAGGAATAGCTGGCTCAGGGAGGCAGGGAATGCCCAGGGCAGGGGAATGAAGTGTGGGGCTTTCTCCTCTAGGGGGCACCAGCTGCCAGCCCTAGAGCAGTGAGCTGGCTGGCTCAAGGGAGAGAGAACAGGACACAGGTCAACAAGGTGCACAGTGCACTGCTTGTTAAAGAAAAGAGTATTCCTAGGGATCCCTTTGCAATTTGCCCCTCTCGGAGACAGCCCCAAGCTCTTTTATCCCTGGGCATCGGTTTATCATAGGCTCTCCCTCTCCCCTCTCAGGCCTGGAAGCCCAGGAGGGACCCTGGTCATCATTCAGTGCAACTTCAGAGGGCCTAGGAAGACCAGAGGTGGTTGGACAATGGCTTTAGCAGAGAGGGTGATGGGTTTACAAGACACAGCTGAGCAGAGGTACCTGCCCCTGTCCCATCCCTTCCAGAATCGCACCCCCTCCCCCCAATCCAAATGAGACAACCAATGCAGAAAGGCGTATCACCTACCTAGGCCCCACTGGCCAGGTGCAAAGTTCCCCTGCCTGGATTGAGAAGCCCACACTGGCACTGCAGCTGCTTTACAGACTCTTCTCCCCCTGGATCAAAGCCATGAGTCCACCAGCTCAGCATGCATCCCCATCTGTCAGTCTCCACTGGAAGGCACAGTCAGGAAAGCAGCCAAATACCATCGCTGAGCTGAGCCTTACTGGAGTCATGTAGGAAACCTGCAGCCAGGTTCTCCTGATCCCCCTGGGTCCTGGCGGCATGGTGCCACCCAGAGGCCAATCATGGAAGATGAGGGCAGGCACAGTAAGGCAGAGTACGTTTTTATTAAAACAGGCTGATTGGTCCTGTCCCCTGGAGCCCCCAGCACCCAGCACCTCAGGAGGCAGAGGGCATGTTTGAGAGAGCACAGGGAAGGGGTCAGAGCTGGAAACAGAAGGTTTGGCAGACGAGGGGGTGCTAGGATAAGTCATGAGGAAGCCAATGTCTCCTCCCCCCCACACACACACTTGGCCAGGTGGTGAAGCCACCTTGGAGAAACTGCAATGTTGCGCACACAGGCTGGGAACTAGGGATGTTAAATGAAGTCGATTAACCTCATGAATTGTTATCGGCTAGTCTATAGTCCCCAGGCAGCCCGTCCAGGGGGAGGGGTCTGAGCTCCCAGATCCAGCACAAGCGGGAACTGAGCTGGGCTGCCTGCCCACCTGGCTCCTAATACACTTTAAATGCAGAGCGGCAGCAGAGATAGGTCCAGGACTCAGTGCAAGCTGGGACTGAGCTGGACTGCTGGGGGGGAGGGGGAGGAGAGAATGCGTGTAGTTGATAGCATTAACCTAGAAGCCTTTGCTTGTCAGTTAATCAACTATACTATTACTTCCCTACTGGGAATAGTACCCAGGAGTCCTGGCTCCCAGCCACCCCCCAACTCTAACCCCTAGACCCCTCTCCTCCCAGAGCTAAGGAGAGAACCCAGAAGTCTGGCTCCCAATGTTTCCATCCACGTGCAGAATAAATGTTTATGTGCACTGAGGCGTGTGTGAATGTGCACCACCAGTGGAACCAAAACCTAGCTGGAGGGGCTCTGCGAATCAGCTGGGCAGCACTGGGATCTCTCCTGACTGGCTGCACAAGCACCCACCTTACAGGGAGCCCTGCTCCCAGCCCTGCCTGCTCTAACCCACTGGCTCCCACACCCCTCTCAGGGCTGGGCCGCAGCCCCAGGAGTCCTGCCCACTCCCCACACTGAACATCGTTCATCCTGCAGCCTCCCTGGGGCAGATCTGTGCCACATCCCCCCAGCCCTGGGCAGCAGGAGGGAAGCATCAGTGCCTCTTGGCTTTGGCCAAATCCAGCGCCCTTTGGGCGGTGCTCAGATGCCGCCAGGCGTCGAGGAGGAGGATGGAGGGGACAACGATCCACAGGGCGTTCATGAAGACGAAGTAGAACCAGAAGTAGAGCGGGTGCCACATCTCGCTGTGGGCGAAGCCCTCCCGGTACTCAGTGAAGAAATACAGCACGTCGCCGTAGAGCTGGCCTGGGGAGATCGGGGAACCCAGGATCATGCCAAGGTCAGCGGGGGCCCAGGTTGGGTCTAAATGAAGTTGTTTGGCAGAGACCTTCAGCCCCTGGGCCCTTCCACAGCCAGGGAGCGAACCCAGGAGTACCCTGCTCTAACCACTAGACCACTCTCCTCCCTAAGAACCCAGGAGTCCTGGCTCCCATCCTCCCCTGCTCTAACCACTAGACCCCACTCTCCTCCCTAAGAACCCAGGAGTCCTGGCTCCCAGCCTCCCCCCCACCCCTACTCCCCAAGTCAGCCGGCTGCCCTTACCCAGCGACACCACCAGCTGCAGCACGTAGCGGTGGGGCTGGCGCTGGAGGAAGGCCACCACAGTCCAGAGGCTGAGCGGCCCCCATGCCCAGGCCGTGATGGTCTCCATGCACACGGTGAAGTTGTCCTCTCTGCAGGCAAAGGAGAGACACACCAAAGGGTAAACCCAACTTTAAAGCTGCCCCCTTCCCAGCCAGCCCTGCATCTCCCTCCCATCGGCCTCAGTTTCCACGGGGGAGAATGGTCCTGCTTTGGTGTGTTCCTGACGCAACAGGACAGTCCTCTGGCCCATTATCCGGGAAGCTGGATGTGCTGAGCACAACGGCCCCTCTGCCTTCCACATCGAGGAGCAGCAAGGATGGGAGAGGCCATAGAACGAGGCAGCAAACCCGGCTGCTCTTTGGTGTCCCAGGAAGCTGAATTCCCAGGCTGTGGGGCAGAAGAGGCAAGGACAGCAAAAGTCTGACGCAACAGGACAGTCCTCTGGCCCATTATCCGGGAAGCTGGATGTGCTGAGCACAACGGCCCCTCTGCCTTCCACATCGAGGAGCAGCAAGGATGGGAGAGGCCATAGAACGAGGCAGCAAACCCGGCTGCTCTTTGGTGTCCCAGGAAGCTGAATTCCCAGGCTGTGGGGCAGAAGAGGCAAGGACAGCAAAAGTCCCCCCCTCCCGACTCAGCCTTCAGCTTTGCCTGGAAATGGGGGGGGAGCATTTGGGGGTCCAATCTTTAGACTGACTCTGTCCAAGCTTGGAGTTGCAGGGCGAGGAGGAGGCTCTTGGGGCCCCTCTTTGGCAGGGTTCTCCGCGGTGCTACGGCTACCGGGGCCTTGCTCGGGAAGAGCCCTATGGCGTAAGGCCTGGGAGGGGAAAGCAAGGGCCACTGGCCCGTCTGCTGGGACCAACGCACGGACGGCAAAGGGCGGTCACTCCGAATTTCTCTCGCCATCGGATCAGGCCAGGCCTGCCTCTGCTGGACTGAGAGCCTGCTATCCGCGTACATACCCCCGGGATCCAATCACCCTTTACCAGTCCCTTTGTTCAGCTGGAAATTGGAGGCCTCCCTCTCTCCTTAAATCATTCCCCCAGCTCTCGGGGACTGATCCCCGTCCTTCTTGAGTTGTGGCCACCAGCAGGGACATGGGATCCCAGCAGTCGCACCAGCGCCAAATCCAGCAGGACAATCCCCTCTCTGCCCTGCCTGGAGATCCCTTTATATACCCTAGAATGGCACTAGCACTTGGGGCCCCACAGTGCACTGGCAGCTCCCGGATGGTCCCCCCAAATCTTTGTCAAGACAGAGCCTCCCACCCCACACACACTGGCCCCGCACACCCTGTTCCGGAGGGATGCATTTGCATTTAGCTGTATTAAACCGTGTAGTATTTGCTTGCTCCAAGCAAGCAGGTGTGCAAAACCTGATACTTGATTTTTTTTTTTTTTTAAGGCAGCATTCAAACAGTTCCAACATTTCTGCGTGGATTTTGGGCAGACGCCAGTGGATTGAGGGGAATGGGGACAATGAAGCAGGACACACAATAGCTAGAACTCACATGACGTATCTGCTGTCTCCTTTGGCGTATTCCTTCCCTGGAGGTGAAAACAAGGAGATTCAGCTGAAACGGTGGCTCTGTAGTTAATGATTGTATGGGATGGGGGGCAGGGGCAGAAATGTGGAAAGTTTTCCAATCAAGGGAACAAACAGTCTGAAATCCAGGCAGTTTTGGGGCTGGGTATTCCCAGAGCTTTCCCCTCCTCTGCTTGTGATTGGGGAGCGGAAACCACAGTTAAAATTCCACCTCTTCACAGCTGTAGGGTGATTCTCGGGGCCTTAGGCGGCTGCTACTGTACCACCCATGGGGGAGCAGACACTCCCCAGGTGTCCAGTTTCTCCCGAGTCACCCATCTAACAGATTCCTTTTTCTCACTTTACCAAACTGGCTCCGCTCAGCGGGGCCCAAACCCAGGAGTCTGGATAACCCCACTAGCCTGCAGCCCCCACCCAGAGAACCCAGGAGGCCTGGTGCCCAGGCCTTACACAGCTGGGAGAGGAAGGACTGGTCCCCGGGGATGTCCCTGTGGTAGAGGCTGAACCAGCCCTCAATCACGGCGTGGATGAAGCT